GGTCACATCCGTCCGTGTGCCAGGGCCTCTGTGCGGACCGGAAGCCCACGGTGACATGCGTCCACGGAGCGCTGAACCTGTTCCCTCCCGCACGGCACGAATCCCGTGAAGCAGCAGCAGGCCGTGTCTCCTCCACCCACGATCATGTCGGGGAATCATTACAAAGGCCACGAAGTCAGCTGCTGCATCAAATACTTCATCTTTGGATTCAACATCCTGTTCTGGGTGAGCAGCTGTGCGTGGGTGACGTGTGTTATTATCAGTAACGGGGGAGGCATCGATCCGTTACTCAGAGTAACGTGAGCGTTCCTGCTGCAGCTTAGTCCACAGCTAATCGGCTTTAATGACAGCTGAGGGCCTGATGGACACGCACACACACTGCTTATTGTTGCTGAGTGACACAGAGAAACGTCACGGGGGAAACCTTTAAATAACACTGAGTCAGTGACGTCATGTGATTGTGTTCGCGTGCATCTTCACCTTAATGAGATGTGGTCCGTGTCTTGCAGCTGCTGGGGATGGCCTTAGTGGGAATCGGACTGTGGGCGTGGAGTGAGAAGGTAAGAACACGTGACAACAACGTCATTACACTGACTGAGACGTCAGCGTGTTCCAGTGTGATGGACGCGTGTGCGTGACTGCTGTGAGCTGCTCACGAGCGTGGAAGCGGCACAGAAACCCACGCTCCTGTCCTGCAGCGTGGACAGCCAAGCATTTCAAAGCAAAGTCAGGTGACCTCCAATCCAAACCTGATTCATTTAATGAGCCGTCAGTCATTTTCCACACGTGTTCGTGTTGTTTAGTGTACTTGACTTTCATGTGAACTTTACTAAAGTCAGAAATGTGACGCAGCTGAGGGCTCAGTGTTTCCCAGGGTCATGTGACAGCACTTCTGTTTGAACGTGGGAAGTGTTCACAGAACTGATAAACAAAACACTGAAATAAGCAACTTTGAAAGATGATGTCAAATGTTGCTTTTTGCTTCAAACACTTGTAACTGAAGCCAGATAGCACACAGCAATTAGTTAAACTGCAGGAATGTCTTAAAGACATAAAGACCTGGATGGCTGCTAACTTTCTGCTTCTTAATTCATATCAAACTGAGGTTATTGTACTCGGCCCTGAAAAGCTTAGAAATATGGTATCTAAGCAGATTCTTACTCTGGATGGCATTACCTTGGCCTCCAGTAACACTGTGAGGAACCTTGGAGTCATTTTTGACCAGGACATGTCCTTCAATGCACATATTAAACAAATATGTAAGACTGCGTTCTTCCATTTGTGCAACATCTCTAAAGTTAGAAATATCCTGTCTCAGAGTGACGCTGAAAAACTAGTTCATGCATTTATTTGTGGCCCTGTTGACCAAACCGGCTCAGACTGAGTGCTGCGTCTGTTCTCTGCAGGGGGTCCTGTCCAACCTCTCATCTATCACAGACCTGGGGGGTCTGGACCCAGTCTGGCTCTTCATGGTGGTTGGGGGGGTTATGTTCATCCTGGGCTTTGCCGGATGCATCGGAGCGCTGCGGGAAAACACGTTTCTACTGAAGTTTGTATGTTCCAAATCGTTGTCACGCATCAACGAGCAGCAGGCTTCAGTGTGCTGAGCGTCTGCTTCTTCTGTCGTAGTTCTCGGTGTTCCTTGGAATCATCTTCTTCCTGGAGTTAACGACGGGAGTTCTGGCGTTTGTCTTCAAGGACTGGATTAAAGACCAGCTCAACCTGTTCATCAACAACAACATCCGGGCGTATCGGGACGACATCGACCTGCAGAACCTCATCGATTTCACTCAGGAATATGTAAGTGCTGACACGTGACAATGTTATTACACCATCGTCATACATGATCATACTGGTATTGGTGTTGTTGTAACAGCGTCCGCGTCACGCCTGCATGCTAATACACGTGACGTGTCCATGAAGCTGTAAAGCTGCGGTGCAGTCTACGTGCTGGACGGGTTCATTGTAGTGAAAGTTTGTATTTCACATGAACTGGATCATTTAAGGAATAGTGTCCATTTTTAACGCGCGTCTGTCTACGTGTCCGTCCTCGGACCACCTTGAAGCGTGTGCTGATCGTGTGCAGTCCTATTAACAGGAGTGTTTGTGCCTGGCTGCAGTGGGAGTGCTGTGGTGCTTTCGGAGCAGACGACTGGAACCTGAACATCTATTTTAACTGCACCGATGGAAACCCCAGTCGGGAAAAGTGCGGCGTTCCCTTCTCCTGCTGCACCAAGGACCCAGCGGTACGACTTCCTCACACATCGTCGTTGATGTTGGCGTTTGTTTGTCAGCGGTGTGGTCAGCTGACTCCACCTGCTCACGGCTAAACCCAGGATTGTTTCTTGCTTTCAGGAGGACGTGATCAACACTCAGTGTGGCTACGACATTCGAGCCAAACCAGTAAGTAACTGGTAAACCAGTGAGTAACTGGTAAACCAGTGCGGGGGCGCAGAGTTGGGTCATCGTAATGATTTATTGGCCTCACAACAACATATAGAAGGTATCATACTAAGATTTAAAACATGTCATATATGACCTCTGACCTCTTGTTCGAGGGCAGCAGATTGGATCATAATAAAACTAAATGTGTTTCAGACTTCCTGTCAGTGTGTGTGTACACGTGAAGGCTGTGATACATGTAGCATGTGATTAACCAGCTCAGGTTAATGCTGCCCACACTCATCCATCAGCTCCATAACGCTGTTAAAGGCCCGTCTGTCACGGGTCAGGTCACGGCAGTCGTGACAAAAACGCCACGTTTGTTACACTTTTAGTAATCGAGGATACAAATGATGATCTCCGAGTATCAGAAGTCTGAGCGTTGCAAAGAAAGAAGGAAACAGACTCGTTGTTACAGGTCATTTCTGTTCCTGTCATGTTCCTCTCACATGATCAAACCCCGGGACATGAATATCTGAAATGACACGTGTTTGTGTGCACGCAGGACTCCGAGCAGAAGGACTACATCAACGTTAAAGGCTGCGTGCCCCAGTTTGAGAAGTGGCTGCAGGACAACCTCACGCTGGTGGCGGGGATCTTCATCGGCGTTGCGCTGCTGCAGGTCGGTGCCGCGCACCTTCGGGTGTCGAGCGAACGCATCGTGCTCTCGGGTCCTTCGGGTTTCCAACTCTTCTTGTGTTTCATCCACAGATCTTTGGAATTTGTTTGGCTCAAAACTTAGTGAGCGACATCGAGGCGGTGCGGGCGAGCTGGTGAGAAAACGCTGCACACACACGTTTCACTGATTGGCAGCTCGAGCCACACTGACACGGGCTTGTTATTCACTGATAGCCATACTTGATGTGAGAACCGACAGCTCTGCTCCCAGCAGCTGGTCCTTACAGCAGTCAGAGCGCCCTCTGCTGGATCCACTGTGCAACATCTGTACCAGTAAATGAAACGATTTGCAGACAGCTGCTGTGGCCAGTACGTGTCCACACATCCGTCAGTACTGGGAGACAGTTTTCCCCAGTTTTGGGACAAACTGTGTAAAATGTGAATAATAACAGAACACAACAATCTGCAAAGTCATAAATGTGACAGCAGAACAGTTTTATAAAGAACAAAGGTTCGTTTCATTTGATGGCAGCAGCACGTCTGAAAGAATTATAGTTCGTTATATCCAATCACTGTTATCGGGATCGTACTGGTTGCCATGACTGGTTTGTTAAACGCACTGATGGAGAGCGTCTCTTTTTGCTGTGTAAAGTACTCTCAGGTCTTAACATTTCATTGAACAATAACCAACCATAATGAGATTTGTCTGTAAACATCATGTGACCGTACAGATGTTTGATGGCTCTGTGTTTTCCAGCCTCAGTAGAAATGCAAACGTACCTCTGGGAGGTGTTAAACACTCGCACAGCTAGGCGACCTCATGGAGGGTTCACGCTGCGCTTTGATTGGTGTTGCTGTTTGAAAGAGTGGAGGTCAGAGGTCAGACTCACTGAGCAGGGTACTGAAGTGGACTGCTGTTCTCAGGACTTTGTGAATCTTCAGTGAGTCAGATAAATGTGGCTGCACTTCCAAACAGGACTTCGACACACTGGGTGCAAAACGCCCTTTTTCACAGTCGTTCACTTTGCAGCAAATGATCATCAAAAACATTCGTAAATCGTTTAAATGTTCTGCAGTAAGAGCTGTCGTATTAGTGAGTGTAACAGTCAGCAAACATCAGCACAGCTTACGGCTGCAGTGTGAACTAAAGAGCAGCATTTATTCATTGCAATGCTCCATAATAAACCTGCACCCACACAAACACTCCTGTCTGCTGGGACTCGTGTTTGTTTTCATAGCTGTTGTAACGTCAGTTTTATCCTGCAGCTCTGACGCATGAATCAAGCGTAACATTCAGTTTGCTGTTTAGGGACAAGGCTTATTGAGCTCCATCATCACACTCATTCTTCCTCCTCCATGCTTCATCAGGGTGCCCCCCCCTCTCTACATGCGCCGACTCCCACCGTACTCCAGCAAGAAAGCGTCGGCTTACTACTCGTGAGACACTCGCACACACCGCATGTGTGTTTGTCACCGGTGGGTGTGATGGATCCATGTGGAGACTTCTCTTGAGCTTTGCTGTGTGATCTGTGTGCTGTTTAAGGTGCAGCTGTGGGGTAGTCATGTGACCCTAACAGTGTTGTGTGGAAGCAAGAATGTGCCACAAACTCATCATTTTTCACTATTATTATTTAAAAATAAATGTGAATTTATAACAAATACATTTTATTAAAACAATTCTAAAAAATAAAAATAAATTATTAAATTAATGAATTCAGTTTCGTATTAACACCTAACTACTACTAATTACTACAAACTGGCAGTAGAAGAACCCCCACCAGCAGCTAGCATATTAAAGCTTTGTTAGCACTTGAACACGTACGTCTGTCCCACCATCCACACGCTGTATTTCAAACCAAAGCCTGGCTCTTTGCTCTCCATGCAGCATGTCCTGTTGTTTTAGTGTAGCGGTGTTAGCTAGCTGTAGTTAGCAACACGTTAGCGACTGTCGCAGCAGACCATCTGTCCTGGCTTTAAAGTGCCACAGTTAGAAATGAAATGCTGATATGATTTTGATCACACACATAACGACACCATGATGAACAGAAACACAGGAATCCACGTGCCCAAGAAGCTGAAAAAACAATGCAGGAACTAGCTAACAGCTAGCATGTTTGGCTACAGTAATTGAACGTGAAGCATGAATAATCTGACATGATGACAGCACACGTGCTGTTAGTGACACAGTCACAGCAAACTTTCTCCAAACGTGGCTCCTGTTGTGCTAAACTGCACAGAAGCCCTGTAGCTGCATCTGAGTGCTACCAAAGCATGCTAATATTAGGTTTGCCTTCACTGTGGTCAGTGTTGTACCCACAACATTCAGCAAACCTGAGGTCAAAGGTCAAACTACACTAATGTATTTACTACTTACTGTGCTGGTAGCACAGCAGCTGACGTTTAATCAGAGTATAGCATCACGTCAGTACTGTTTGCAGTCTGCTAGCATAGCCTGCAGTAGCAGACAGAGGACTGTACGTCCGTAAACCATCAGCAGGACCAGTATTTGCTTCTTTATGCAACGAGGAACAGGATGACCTCTAACTGGCCACTGTGTAATGGCTCTGACCAAACAACAGACTTCATGAGGGTGGCCTCCAGTGGACTCTGATTGGCCTTTGCCATAGAATACCAGAACTGGCAGGTCCACCAGTGGGGCCCTGTGCTTTTCATAGATTCACCCTGAGCATATGTGAAAGACACGAAAAGGGTCTGGAGAGGCCGTGGAAATGTTATGCTGCCTGTGACATCCTTAATATGATGGAAAAGAGTTCAAACCCACAGAAACAGAAGAAAAAAGATGAAATAACGATCAACAATAGTCCAGGAAAATTAAAAACGTTTGTTTGCAGCAGAAACAGCTGTTTGACCTGCAGGAACAAAGCAGGCTGTCAGGGTTAGGGTCCAGCACAATGCAGGGCCTTCAACATAAGCACTAAGATGTTCAGACCAATGCTGAAATGAACTGGAAGCCCATGTAATGTCTAAGTGCAGGTGTTTTATTGTTGTGCTGTGAGCAGTCGATGTAAACGCATCATTTCAGGTAAAACAGATCAGAGGTTACATCAGGTACAGGTGCAACTCAAACATGTGGAGCAAACATGCTGTTTGACTGGACCCTGTTTGTCAGCGTCCAGTTAAACTCATAAGGATCAGTTGTCTGTTACTGAACAACATCGTCATTCAGGAGTCTAACAGTACTGAGTGAAGTGATGCTACTGTACATCAGAGATGCAGTCATGGTCAGCGGTCAGAGTTGGGGCACTTTGCTTTCGAAGCCGTAACCTGTGATTGTTGCAAAGTCTTCCCTGACCCTGCAGAAGATCCTTGGTGGTGTCACCCTAACCCTCAGCCTTCTGTCACCGCAGCAGGCTTGTTAGTGACGCACCGAGTCGTACAGTTACTAAACGCCTCTTTCTGTCTTTTCCTTTCCAGCTTCTTTACCTAATGCAGCGTTTAAGGTAAACACTTGAACTCAACCAAACTTACACAGTGATATAAAAGCAGATGTGACCTGTAATATGTTTTGTCCTTCTTCCCCATGATCAGCTCCAGCACGTCGGGGAGATCAGACCCGATCACGGCACCATCCCTTACTGAACCAGCACCTTTGTTCCAAGGCACTAATATGTGAAATGACTTGTATATAAACACTGTGAGTAACTACTGTACAAAGAAGGAGAGCACTGTTAGCATTCGCAGCGCTCCAGGTTTGATAGCTACATCTAGAGTAGAAGTTTTGATAATGTTTTTGATATTAGATATTTTTCACTGTAGTCATTACGGGCCATCGTTAGGACTGCGGCTCGTGCTCCTCACACTCAACCACTCGCTTCCTGTACCTTTGCATTAGTTGCGCTTGACTGCTGCACCGTAGGGAGGAATCTGTAAGTGGATATCTTTGCATGCTGCACTGACAGCAGCTAAACATGCTGTAAATGCACAGTACGAATGAAAGAAGGGATCACTTCAATGACTTCCTTCTCTACTGAAGAAGGGAAGTGTTTGAGGATGTTGCTGCCACGTTCATCACCACCTTGTAGCTCTGCAAGCACTGGAGTGGATCGCTAAACTCCTCCCACTGCCCTACCCCTTGCTCCGGTGTGACACCTCAGTATTCTTTAATCGGCTCGTTTCAGATTGAAATCAGTTTTAGTTTAGACGTCCACCGTAGAGCTCGTTGAGACTGACCTGGAACTTGAAAAACAGAAACCGTTCTTCTGTTTAAAGAGGATTTATTATTTGTTCTTATCTTCTTGGATCTTTTTAAAGGCAGCAGCTGTAGCTTCTCTCAGTGCTGCTTGGCTCAAAGGGAACCAGTTCCCATGGACTCGTGAGAAAATACCCAACTTCACAGTATTTCTAGAACAGCGGTCCCCAGCCTTTTTTGCACCAGGGACCGGTTTATGTCCGACAATATTTTCACGGACCGGCCTTTAAGGTGTCGCGGATAAATACAACAAAATAAAACCAGTACTGGTACCAAAAAAGATCAGATTTATTCATAACACACGGGAAAAGACCCAGGGAAACTGAGTTAGCGAAGAAACTGATTAAAAACTCTGAAAACCATGAATTTCACACCCGAGTCTCAACTTTCGCAGCCCTCCACGCCTCACGGGCCGATGGTCGGTTGGGGTACCGGTCGATGGTCGGTTGGGGTACCGGTCGATGGTCGGTTGGGGTACCGGTCGATGGTCGGTTGGGGTACCGGTCGATGGTTGGTTGGGGTACCGGTCGATGGTCGGTTGGGGTACCCGCTGTTTTAAAGCATATTTACGTTGTGGGACAAAGAACAGACACATTCGTAACACATCTAAAGTGGGCTGCTTTTAAAGAACTCGTGCACCTGCACAACTGAAACGTGGGTGTGGCATCTTTAACAGGTACGTCAGCACAGGTAGCATGCAGGCCTCACCTTTGCTAATGTGAGTCAGTGAACCTGACCCCGCACTTTTAGGATGGTTGTTGTTGGTTACTGTGTGCTGCAGACAGTTCTGGTGTTTTCTGTTCATTTCATGGATCCTACTAACGAAGCTAATAGCACTGGCTGACAGTCGGGCTGGCCTCCACCCTCTCGTCTATAAAGGTGTGGCTCCTAACATGGCTGCAGCCCAAACCTCCTCTTTTCAGCTTTAGATTTCAAAACTGTGACACCACTTTGTTCTTGTCTGTTTGATATCATCTGTGGAAACTACAGACAAATTATTTAGAAAATGTCAGTACATTTCAGTTTGCATCACAAACACAGCGTTCAGCTGATCTGAGGCTCCAGCTCAAAGACAAAGCTACACGTGACTCCGCCCAAAACAGACCCTGATACTGTTGCTCAGTAAAGTCACAGCTTTGGATACAAAGACAAGAAAATGATTCTAAAAACGACCTGTTCAGTTACAGTAACTAATGATGAAGGACAGAGACGTTTGAAGAAAGTAGTTTGTGTTGTTGGACAGTTACTCGCTCCGTCACATGTGAATAGACGAGTCATTATTACACTTGTGCTGTTTTCAGGTGTCACTCAGATTATACTCGTTGGTTTGTTGTGTCCTTACATAACGTCACGCGCCGTCTCGTTCCCGCCGTGACGTCACGCGCCGTCTCGTTCCCGCCGTGACATCATGCGCCGTCTCGTTCCACATCTTTACTTAAACACTGAGTGAAGCTCGGTGAAAATGATCATCCTCAGTGTTTCATACCCAGCGTTTTTCACTTGAATGAAAACAGACGTTCACCAAACGAGCTCACGTGCTCCGTGTTTCCCTCGGTGATTTAAAGTGATTTGATTGGCTCACAGCATGTACTTGTATTAATGTGCTAACTACCTTGTTTTTCTTGTCATGGCGGTTATCAAGTGTTCCCCGGAGCTCCTCAGAGTTCTTTTCTACTCACAGAGGGATCAGTAATGTTTTTGATAATAACTATTTTACAGTGAACTTGGTTTTCTAACTCTACACCTGTCAGTACTACTGAATCTGCAGCGACACGTTTGGAGGTGGTGACGATGCCTCGGCGATCTCAGAACACGCCATAGACACTGGACTGTAACCGCCTCCTTTCATGTCTTTGTCTCAAACTGCTTTTAATATTAATAAAGGTGATGACATTACTGATCATTGTGCGTCTGAGTTGTTCATATTTATGGTTAGTAAATATGTTTATGAACTGCACTTCCCATGAGTCAGTGTGCCGACTGTCACTGCTGATATTGCAGAGACGTGTTCATGAAGCAGAGCCATGCTCCAGCCTAATGAGTCAAAGCCTTGATTCTCTGAGCAGAGCACTACGGTGAACATGAAGAACACTTAGGTCCTGAGACTGTCAGCAGAAGAACCAGAGGTCATGGTCGAGACGAGGCTGGAGGAGCTTTAGAAGAAGTCAGAGATGTTCCTGAACTCTGAAGATGTTTCTTCTGCAAAGAAGACTGTAGTTCCTCTGTAGCTCTGTAACAGTGTTTAGGCTACAGGGAACTACAGCTGTGCCACGTGTCCACAGCAGAAGGGTCATGATGACGAGCAAAGACTGTGACTCTCACTTTGTATCAGTGGCTCCTGTTCTCCAGCCTTTCATTCAAGTGTAACTGAATTAACGCCATGATGTGTATTATTACACATGTATGTGTGAGGAGGCGAGCGCCACGGGGACAGGCCACGCGAGCACCGGGCGGTTCAGTCCCCCAGCACCTCCTGCAAGTGTCCTTGGGCAAAATACTGAACCCTCAACACTGAGCTGCAGTAAGAGCTGCTGCACTGACTGTTTGTGGGGAATAAAAAGTGACTCGACCTGAAGTCAGATGAACTCAGTGGCACTCTGGTCCACACCACACGACCCTTCATCATGTGACACGTCTGTGTGCTTAAATTATATCTTCAGTTCAAATCTAGAGATTCTTTGACTTCACTCGAGGACTCGAGCTTCACTCTAGACAAAACAAGAACACGTGAGTCGTCACCAGCTATCGTCTTTAATTATCTGCATTACAATTATCTGAGTTACAATCCTCCAAAATATACAACTCATGACATGTACAACAAACATATATGCTTATAGTAGTTGATGCAGTGACTAAGGATCTCTACTGGCATGTGTCATAGAAGAGCACGACTCTGATAAATAACCATTCATACCTTTAAAAAAGAAAAGGACCAGGTGTGGGCCCGGACAGGGACAGGGTGAGGAGCACGGACGACAACCTGCTGCATGTAAACCAAGTCTGTCCTCCAGAGGGCGCTGTGCGGGAGCTGCTTTGTGTCTGTCCTATTAACTGTTAATCCCGGTTCCAGCTGTGCGGCCACAGACCGTACACGGCAGTGACCCCACGGACACTCGGGGCTGCGTTTGTGGGGCCTGATCTGAGGTTTCCTGACAGTCTGAAACAATAACAGCTCACTGATGCTTTTTGTGTTCAGGCAGAGCTACGACGTACTAACAGGAAGGATGTCATATATCCGACATGCAGCTCTTACTGACCCTGTGGGGTTTGACCTCTCCTGCTGTTACTGTACGCTCTACAAATTCCTGTGAAACTTCCAGAGTCTGCAATTAAAGACCATTATTCACAGTATGATGTCTTGGATAGAGTCCAGGAGCTCTGCCGAGGCCATCATTTGTTAGGAAGGGCACACGTCCAATTTGCTCCTCTGCTCGTATTTTGTTTGTTTGAACTGTTTGAACAGCACAAGTTAAAAACGGAATAAAATCGAGTCCAGGACTCGAGGTGTCAGCAGGAAGAGGGCTGGCTATGCTCTGGAGCATGCAAGCAGCGGACAGGAAAACGCGGCACACCTTGAACGGGACTAAAACATGCACAGCTCCTAGTCAGCGTGTACTCTATCTACATGGGACACAGCTGGGCGCGTCATGGCTGTCTGCTTCGAAAAACCAAAGAAGATCCACAACAGGAAGGATGTTCTGTGCACACTTTCTTGGACGGCTTACCGGCAGATGGCGTCACAGCTATGGTCATAAAGGAGTGTCGTCTTCGATCTATTGCATCAGGCAGTCTGTGGCGCTCTGGTGGAGCTACGGAGACGCATGCACGTGTAGAGGGGGTAGGGTTAGACTAATGCGTTCGTTAGTGGCTCACACATCAGCTGGTGTGTGAAGCCTCCTGCTAGCCGTCTGAATAAAACTACAAATATGGCTTCCAGAGGACTGCGTATCCGTCGCGCGTCTAAAAACAGGTTTTGACTTTGACTAGTTTGGAATTATGGTGAGGTCTTCAAAATAAAAGCTTGTATGTAAGCACAAAGTATTACACATCAGTCTAACCCTAGTGGAGGTGGCAGAGACATGAGTGGATATCTGGCTCGCAGTTCACATGACATGGTACCTTGGCACATGACGATGGGGCACGGGGGAGCGCAGTGGTGAGGTGTCACTGGAGAGGTGGGTATCAGGCAGGCATTGGGGTGGGCAGGTGTGGGCGGGGTCAGACTCAGTCATTTAGCTCTGGGCCGTTAGCCGCTGCTCTGTGAGCGACGCCTGGTGTGATACCGTCTTGTTTTCGTGAGCCCTCAGCTTGGAGACGATGTTGATGAACGCCAAGCTCTGGACCTCTTTATGAAGCGGCTCTGAAGAGAAACACAGGAGGCAGGCGTGTTATCAAAGCCACAGGTCCCAGCATGCACAGTGTTTAAGCACGTTCAGTCACGTTAAAACACAGCAGTTTGTGCAGAGACCCTCCAACACACTCCTGCTGCTGAGGCAGTCCATCGCTTGCACACTGACAGTGAGACTCAGGCGCAGTGACCTCAGCGCTCTGACACCAGGGCGCCGAAACACCGACCGGTTGAACCGTTTCAGCTTTTATTTGTCCGTCTGCTACCTTCTTGTCCTGCTGTTATTTCACGTTTTTAAAGCTGCGTTACACGAAGACATCCAGAGTTTCACAACACTTTTGATCTCTGCAGCCAATCAGCCGTCACATAGAGCTCAAACATGTGAGTGGTTACAGTCTCACCTGAGCCCATGACTGCACAGATGAGGATCATGGAGTTGTACTTGATCTCCGGTGCGCTCCTCTCATCTGACAGCAGCTTGTGAAGCACAGACACCAGGCCGGCTCCCACCAAGTCCTTCTCAGCTGCAACTGAAATGCAAACTTTCATCCAGCTGCAGTGCTGCACAAACGTTACAAGCTTCAGCGCCACATTTCTAAACACGCTCGTGTGCAACACGGCTCCTGAAACGCCTTCAAAGTCCATTATCTGAGATTCAACAGTAGTGCGTAACCACAGCTGCTCACACCCAAAACATGTTTGTGTCACAGATGGTGACGACAGGGATCATGGATCCTGCCTGGAGCTTACCTAAATCCAGGGCTGCTATGAGACCCAGAGCCACCAGGGCTTCATTCTGCATGATCATGTGCTCACTGGTTGCCATGGTAACTAAGTGTTTGACTCCTCCTCCCTGGATGACAGTCCTCACTACTTCCTAAAGAGAGAAAAACAAAACCACAGAATTAAAAACACGCAGAGGTTCAGCGCACTGTGAGCTGTTTTAAAGAGGACTACATGTAATAATAATTACATGTAACAGGTTCTATCATTTAAAATAAATCAAACAGTCACATCTTCCATAAAAGGCCTCTCATCCACACATGCAGAACAAACCCAGCCACAGGAGTCCAGAAATCAGGTGTAATAATCAGAAATCACCGTTGGGCCTGAACATTGACTGTTCAGTTCAATGTATGTAGCATATTCGACTGTCAGTACCTTCAATGCTAATCGCTCTGATAGGACATTATGGTGGACATTATGGTGGACAGCATCGGACGCTGCACTGAGGTCTAGCAGCACAGAGACGACTGTCAGAGGCCATGAGAAGATCAGTTGTATGAAAGGAAGGGTGGAGATTGGCCTATATATATATATATTAGCTAAGAAAACGAATTCACAAATATGGGTGGAGGTGACAGCGTCCAAATAAAAAGCAGTGTTACTGAAATGATCCTGAATATTCTCCTCTGCAAAGGTCAAAGGTGAGCTTGGCCCAACAGAGCGCTGAGTGTTTACCAGCCTGGTCTCTGAACAGTGACGTTCCAGCTCCAACAACGCTAAAAAGAAGCTGCTCAAACATGCAGAACTTTCTGGGAAACTCTGATCAGTGCCAGCTAACTGACCTTCACTGCACAACATAATCAGCACGTGTGGGTGGAGTTAGCTCTCAGAGCTCAGTCGTTATCGATGCCTTTGACTTCCCAACGTCTGCCAGGCTACGATCCTGGATTACCTCCCACTCTGGAAACCTGAATGTGGACCGGCTGCAGACTTGAACAGTCAACAAGCACAGCTGCAGTGTTGGAGGGTGAGTGATGGCGTGTGGTCTGACCTTGGACTTGCTGTGTCGAATGAGGGCAGACAGAAGCCTGTTGGACTCGCCCATCACGCCTGCGTGGTCCTTGGCTTCGCACCACTCCACCAGCCTTTCCACCAGCTTCCCATTGGTTCCCAGGTGGTCTGCTGCTTCAGCTGAGCCAACACACAGTGGGCAAGGCTGCCGTCATTGATGCTGCACACGTGAGTAGCTGCTTTCATATTTGTCTTAATGACTCAAAATGAAGGCTGTTAAGAACCTCTCCTCATTGTCCCGCACAAGCAGAACTCCAGCAATCACCATAATGATGCCTTTGGATACCAACGGTTCCAACATGAATAAAACTGAACATTAAAGACAGAAGCCAGCGTTTACCTTGGGTGTCGATGAGCATGCGTAGCGTTCCCAGCAGTTTGAACTGCACTGGAGGCATCTCCGACTGCAAGAACTTCAACACCACATCTGCCACTCCAGCTGACAGCATCTTGGATTTGTTCACCACTGCAGAGGAAATAACAGAACAAACACTGTTCACAACAAAAAACAAAGTTATATCGCGCTGACAGCATCAGGCACACCGCTGCTCCTTCACTGTGAAGCAGCTGGCCTTCCCAACCCTGAACAACAGCTCGGGAAGAACTCCCATTTCAGCATAAAGATCCATCAGCTGACTCACGAAGAAACATCAGCTCTTTAACTACCAGCAAAGAGAACATCAGCAATATGCTGTTATTAAACCCGTGGCTGCCAGGCAGTATTTGGTAAGAGCTGAGTGATTATTGCAGG